CTTTGGGCCCAATTCGTTCGTGTCATACTGGCCTTTGGCCCATTTATCTTTTATTTGGATCAAACTGGCCTTTGGCCCATCCATTCTTTCATTCAGATCAAGCTGGCCTTTGGCCCATTCATTCTATCATTCATGTCGGACTGGCCTTTGGCCCATTTAGACTTTCATATCAAACTGGCCTCTGGCCCATTCAGACTTTTATGTCAAACTGGCCTCTGGCCCCTTCAGATTTTCATGTCAGACTGGCCTCTGGCCCATTCAGACTTTCATGTCAAACTGGCCTTTGGCCCATTCATACTTTCATTTATGTCAGACTGGCCTCTGGCCCATTCATTCTATCATTCATGTCAGACTAGCCTCTAGCCCATTCATTCTTTCATTCATGTCAGACTGGCCTTTGGCCCAAGCATTCTATCATTCATGTCAGATTGGCCTCTGGCCCAAAGTGGGTGAAGTAGGTGATAAATTTTAACACTTTCATTTATGTCAGACTGGCCTCTGGCCCATTCATTTGGCATAACAAACATTGTCCACTATTCAAATTATCGAACTTATAAGACTTACATAGAAGTAAGCAATTTGACAAACAACATATTTCAAATATCTTTGTTAAGATATTGCTCACAGGGATCGGCTGGATGATTTGCCTTGGAGCTTGACCCTACATATTACATAACACACAAGGGTCACAAGCGATTCAATCCGTTCCTTAATTCACATATTCCTCTTTAGGCCTCATTCTCATCCTTTTACCTCATTTACATTGTTCAATGTATGCCTAAGAGTGCTTAGAAGTGAAAGAGAACGGAAAACGAAACACAGAATGCATTTTCAAAATTTCAAAAACAGGGGTCCCCGCTCGAGCGGACCCATGAGGTCTACAAAAGTACTGGTTACATCAAATTTACGCTCGAGCGCGCACTCGGACGCTCGAGCGCGAACTTGGTCTACATAGCTCCCTGCTCGAGCGTGAACTTCCCCGCTCGAGCGGACGTCAAGTCTGCAGAAAATACTGGGAGCCCGTATTTCCCGCTCGAGCGGCGGTTCCCCCGCTCGAGCGGACATCATAAATTCTGGGTTTTCCAGAATGCTTCTTGAGCTCAAATTCAACATCCAAACCAACATTTCTTGCATATTATGGCTCAAACTTCACATAAAGATGTACTAACATGGTACAAGCACTAAATTACAACACAATGGAGCTCAATTTCACAAATTACTATGCATGACTCAAATTATCCCAATCTCATCACCAACATGCTAAATTCAAACATTCAAGACTTACACCTCCATGATTTGCACATGCATGTGGAAGATACTCATTATTCTCAACTTAATTGGTGAAGAGATGGTCAAATACATGGACTTCAACCAAAATTCAACATGGATTACCCACTTTATGCTCAAACATGGAAATTTATAGCAATTTCTTACATGCATGCACCTATTGACTTCAAATTCAACAAAACCAACTCAATTCCATCACAATCAATTTAATTCATGCTCTTGATCATTATTCAACCTTGAATTCACAAAATTACAAGTTAGCATCCATGAATTTACTTACCTAGAGGTTCAATTCTTCACAATTTCTAGTTGAATCTCCAAGTTATTCAAGTTCCTTGCTCAAACCTCCAATTTCTTCCCCCTCTCTCTCTCTAGCCGACCCTCGCTCTTTTCTTAGAGTTGTAATCAGCCAAATATGAAATAAGGAGAGAAGTTGAGTGCATAGTGCCCTCTTATGTAAGTCCCACTAATCAAAGTTATCAATGTTAAATAGTTGGGCACTTAATTAACCGTTCTGGGTCTAATTATTTTGATCCACATCAATTTTCAATTAAATTTCACCGTAGGCTCGAAAAATTACGCTAATCACAATGGCGTAATCGATTTCGGGTTTCGTGGCCGATAAGGCCTTCAATTTAATTTCCATAGCAGATAATCAAACAGATATTCCTATGGTGAACAGATAGAAATTCAAAATCACATATTTTCACATAATGGCACACAAAATCATATCAAACACATAATCCCATTCGTAATAAGGACCAATTAACATAATACGGAACAGGGTTATCACACAAATGTTGGTTAAGAATCTGATTATGAGGAGCCCCCTGAAGATTGATGAAGAGTTTTCTTGGATTGTTCAACATAGGAGTGGACATTCTTTTTCTCATTACAAACTTTCATTTGCTGCCTCTATATATCATATTTGGATTGAAAGGAACTCCAGAATTTCCCCCCACATTTCTTCAGAGCCTGAGGCTATTCTGGGTAAAATTGTTACTGACATTAGGAGTAGATTGTGTTCTTGGAGGAATGTTGAAGATTCACTGATGAATAGGCACCTTTGTAGCTTATGGGGAATTTCTACTAAGATTTGTAAGTCTTGATTGTTTGTAATAGGTGTTTTCAGTTCAGTTTTTGGTTTGGTACAGTTTCGTAAGCCTGTAGTTTTCATTGTTTGATCTGGGGTATTCTCAGGTTGTTTGTTTGTTAAAAAAAAAGAAAAGTATATTAGCTAAAAAACTACAAAGTTAAGATTATACTAATACTTAAAAAAGTTGATTAAATGTGATTTCTATTGCTCGCCTTAAAATCATGACAATTTCCAATTTTTGTTGCTTGCTTGAATTTACTGTTTCTTGTTCTTGTGACTGCATCATAAAAAAATTATGATTTCTAAAAAACATGTGGCAGCTAGACAACATGGCCTTTGCTTACAAGTTTCCTGGTTTAATTTAAATTGATTTTTTTTTTTTTGGTTGTGTTTTTTTAGTTATTTATCAAGGAGAAATGTGTGCAATGGGTTTTGGCTTGCTGCTTTCCAGTCATTTTTGTTTCAGTATTTTATGCCTTCTTGCGTGACTAGATTTAAGCATGTAGAACAAACACTATGACTTAAGCATGATTTGTCTTTATGAAGAGTCCATTATTATATGTTATCATGGTCTCTAGGTCTTATGCTTTCAAATTCTTCTTCTATCTTTGGAGAAGCCTGAAAGTAGTGGTGAATCTCTAAATTCATATCACAAAACTGATGATCATAATTTTATACGTCTTTGGTGATGATTTTTCTCAACTAATCATTGTCTTCATCTTTGTAGCTATTGCAGTTGCAAATTCAAATTATCATTGTCCTCCACTTTTCAAATTAAAAATTTTAGTTCTTTGCTCATCTTATCTTTTTAAAATCCTAAAACTATAAAAGAGGCTTTCTGTGGGCATTACATGCCAGGCAATACTAATCATATATCAGTGGTGATTCTTACTGTGCTTTTTTATTAACCGAAAATCTCTCCACTCTCCATTCCTGTAGCAGAACATTGGGTTGGAAATTCTAATTGGTTTTTCAAACTTGTAGTCACATTATCATGATCGTGTCTTATTTCTTCTACTTTCATTTGAAATTCTGAATATAATCCTTAATAGGCTGCAGATTTTCTCATTTACCATGACCATTTCTTGCTGCAGTTGTGATTTCTGGATTACAATTCAGCTATTGAAATCTTATGTTTAAATTAAGATGATGCAGGCAACAATTCTTATGCAAGACAAATTTACATTTCTGCTTTGTAATAGTAAGGAATGGATATCCATGCTGCAATGGGGATGAAAGTAAATGCAGATGCTAATTTACACTATTTTTTTCTCATTATGTAACGCTTGCTTGCTAGAATTTTATTTTATTTTTATTGATGATGTAGAGTAAGTTATGTGTCCTATTCATCTTAATTTGTCACTTTGTTGTGGTTTTAGAAGTTGTACACTCAAAACAGCTTTGATGACCTATTCGATGTTATTCGGTTTTGTCTTTCACGTGGATAGTCGGTTGCAAGTACAATTGACGATGATGTCTCTAAAATATCAGCACAAGTCGACATGATTTTATTCTGTTGACGCTCAAATCGTGCCACAATTGCTGATTTATGCCTTTTGTGTTTCCTAAGTAATCACAAGACTAGTGACTGAATGATTTCTGTAATTCAAAAATGAAGGTCGACAATATTTACTAGTTTATTGAACTATCTGATGCTCAATAGCCTTTCATCTGTGTAGTCTTCATTTGGTTTTTGGTGAAAATGATATTTGTCTCTTCTTACATGTTTCAAGCACATGTTTGATTTAGTAATTACTTAGTTCCTTATAATCCATGTGCTATTGCAGGCATTCAGTTAATGAGAGTAGTGATGACTGTGGAGTCCAATTCTATTAGATATGGACTTTTTACTTCTCTACTCCTACGTAGCACATGCACTTCTAGGAAGCTGCATTTGTGTCAAACATGGGCATATTTTGAACAATTATTGAACATTTCCTATTTTAAATATTAAATTTGATGATCCCAGAAACTTCATGTGAAACTTGTTGGGCGCTTGGATGAGTCTTCTCAGACACTCCCCAACATGAAACATTTCTAAAAAGAATGCATGATATACCTGATCAGCATAAAATATGCACTGGACAACTACCTAACATAGTAAAAGAATATAATAATAACGATAAAAAAATATATAGGAAGAAACAGTAATAGGAAGGACTTTGATTGAGACCCCCAGTCTCCAACCACCCCCACCACCCCCACACACACGTGGGGGTTGGTCATTGGAACAAAAAAAAAAAAAAAAAAAAAAACAGACCAATCACAGCCCACTGGGGGTCACCCCCAGTAGGGGTCTGGGGCATTTTTTGTAATAGGAGTATGCACTACTACATATATGATATTTGTGGAGTTTGATCTTTTGCATTTGTACTTGGATAATAGATTAAACTAATGTTTATTTTATTTTGTTTATTTATATCTGATGTGGTTAACAAATACATAAAGGCTTAATAAGTGAACATATCTTTGTGTCCATCTTCTTCTTCTTCTTCTTCTTCTTCTTCTTCTTCTTTTTTTTTTTTTTTTTTTTTTTTTTTTTTTTTTTTTTTTTTTTTTTTGTGTTTTGTGTGTGTGTGTGTGTGTATGAAAGATTTGCCATGTCAGCATGTTGATAATATGTTGTGTTCATGTCTGTGGTACATAGCACCCCCCCTTTTCTACCATGCGGAAGGCTTATGAATCATGAATCAAAAGATACATTTGCTATTGATGATACTTGTAACATGCATGGTATTTTCATTTTCATTTGCTGGTTGCAACAAGATAGTGATTGGATTTTGAACAACCACTTCTAGAAGTAGTTCCTTATTAAATTTGTCATGAGAATTTCTAAATGAATTTTGAACAGATTGTAGCATTCCTAGGTGTTCTGGTCTACAAGTTCTATGGAGAGGAACTAAGAGAGATGTTTGGTTATGAGGAACACCCATATGGGTTCTACACAATGGCCGGTAAGCTCATTGTACGATTTTTCCCCATTGTGAGAAGCTTATAATCCATTTCTTTTTTTTGTTTTAACTTTCTTAGTGTAAACTTTACACATTTTTAGTTATTAATATTTGAGTAATGCTATACAAACAAAAAATTTATACATAATGATGTAACTCATTGTGGATCTTTCACTTCAAAACAAAATACCATTGAAGATGTATTTATTTATAATAATGGTATTGCCACATCATTTTTGTTAAGTTTTTTGTATGAATAGAATTTTCCTTGATATTTTTGTCTAACTATGCAGTTTTAGCAATCGTTCTGGTGGGATTGCTCTATGGTTTCTTTATAGCAATAATTTGTGGACAAAGGATCAACGAGCGTCACTACCATGTTTTGGCGAAACAAGAATTGACAAAGGTTTAGTACCTCAACCTTTGAGCATTTCAATAATTTGTAGATGAATCCATTCTCGTTGACTGGAAAGCGCACTTCAACTAAAAAGCTCTTGATTAGATTATAAAAATATGGAAATTGAGATTGTTGGTATAAAAATCCTAGAACTTTCGATGGAAATATTTTCATTTCATTATATTATATATTATCTTAGCTTTCAAGTTCCTAGTGTTCTTTCCTAATGCTAGGACAATATTTTACGTTTACCACTTACATAAAGTAGCTATAGGGTGATGTTGGTTAGTGTTAAACATGAAGTATAAAGGTTGGGAGGAGTGGAGATATTTTGTAGCGCTCTTGTACGCCCTAAAATTTGCTTACAAGGATGGAAAATTGTTTTGTATCGAATTAGTGGGGGAGGATGTCGTGCATTTTTTTGGATGGCTGGGTTATGGACATAGGGTCACAGGCTGACTCTTTTTAGTGCGCAGCAGAATAAGTTTATTTATTTATTTATTTTATTTTTATTTTGTTTGAGTGAGGCTCTTGAACTCCACCTTAGCCAAGCCTACCTAACTCTTCTGACTATCCAAGTTTTGAATCTTCATCCGTCTCGAATATGTAGGGCCAATGCTTTGTCAAGCAATAACAGCTTCATGAAAGAAGACTCGCACTTCAAATGCAGCCTGAAGACACGCTTATCTCCAAGTGAACATTCATACAACCAACCAATTACTTCATTGCTTGTCCATGAGAGCAAGGCGCTAGTGTCATGCATTGGATTCACAAGATCTGAACCTGTGATAGAAATAGAATAAACTGGAAAGTCTAGGGAAATAAATGGAACAAAGGAAAATAGAAGGAAGAAAAGGTTTATTAGATTGAAATGGAATCCAATAACCTCACTTGTTCTAATTAGGGGTGTTCGCGGACCGGGTTGGGTTATCTGGCCTCTCGTCCGCCATTCGTCCGAACTTAGGTGGATTGGAAAAAAAATTCACATCCGTTAGTTTAATTAGTGGATACGGTTTGAGTGGGCTGTGTAGGTTGACGAGGTGGATGCAGATTGATTTGGCGGTCTGGGCTTTACTTTTTTAAGCCTTTTTTCGAACTATTTTCAAGCGATTCTTTACTATTTTGCGCCCAAAATTTTTGATTGTTTATTTTTTATAATAAAAATAAAGACTCAATTTTCATATTTCATAAATGGCAAATATAATTACTAAATAAAAGATCATTTTTTTGACACACAAAGCATAAAAGCATAACTTCATTTTTGTAGTAGTGTTGGCGGATCGGGTTGGGTTGGGTGGGGTGACCTTCCATCTGCTATCCGTCCGAATTTAGGTGAATTGAGAAAAACGCATCTGCATCTGTCCGCTTGCACCATTGAAACTGTCCATTTTGTGACGCATAGGTTTGGGTCATTCGATTTTGGCAAATCGGATGGATGTTTGCCCACCCCTAGTTCTAATACGTTTATATTCCAGGATCCCGATAACTAACATGCATTCTACATTCAATGCTATATGAGTTTTCAAAATATACATGTCACAAAATAATCATTCACTGTATTTAAACGCCCCAAGGGCTTACATCAACCAAATAGGGATATACCCTTACAAAACAAGGCTCACGGCCTTACAAAATCAAGGCCCTAGGCCACAACGAAGGAACTTGAGGGCTCACATCCACATTCCTTGCCAACTCATGGCTATGGTCCATGATCAACACCTTAAAAAAATTAAACCAGGGTTGAACATATAATCCAGTAGAGAATGCTTCTACTCTAACAATATGAATCGACAATGTATGTGATCATAAGGCGATACATAATACGTAACAAGATTTAAAACCAGATTTCATTTCAAAACAACTGTTTCTGTTTTGCAGGGTTCATCCGAAATACAAGTTTTATTCCATTACATAATATATATCCAATTAGTTAAGGTGAATTCTCAGTTTTGATCATTTCCATGAATACAATCGTAATTCCAATTCTCATTTCAAACCAACCTACTTTCATGATTATCAACATTTCCAAAACAATATCCACATTTTTATTTCAAATCATGTGCTAGGGTTTTGAAACATTTGGGCGTTTCTATTTAACACAATGCTCAATGATATATTTCTCAAGATAATGCAATGGGAGAGGGAATTTCATCTATTTATAATTATCATTTAGAAACTACTTGTTACAATGAATGCATGAGAACATGAGTATCGTCTTGTATAAATAAGCTACCACACATATACCATAAAACCCACATTGACACGAGAGAAGTAAACCCTACCTCAAATGAAGAACCCACAAACTCTAGCTTGAGAAGTGATTGAAAACCAACTCCAATCGGGTGAGTAGAGAGAGCTTGAGAAGTAAAGCAACTTTAGGCCTTACCAAATCAAGTGAGAGTGAAGAGAGTAAAAGGAGAGAGAGAGAGGGGGGGGGGGAGGGGGGAAGAAGAAGAAGAAGAATATGATAAAGTAAAAGATTGAATAAACAATTAAATTACAAATAAAATACATTAAGACTACTTTTATCTAAGTTTGAACTACTCCTATCTAGATTAGATATACTCCTAGAATAAAAAAGAAATAGAAATTAAGTCATGTATTAATTTGTTGGTACATTTACAATAGAGCCATTAATGGCAATTTATACAAAGAAATGTAGGGGAAAAAACTTCTATTAACCATCTAACCACCAATATAAGTTTCACCTTTTTACATTGCCACTTGTCCTCCATCCCATGAATCTTCAAACCTTAACTTAACTTCTCTTAATTTCTAAGATTTTCCTGCATAATCATAATACAATAACAATAATAATAGTAAGTAATAAAAAATCTAAACCAACTATAATCGACAAAAAGTTTATTTATAGTGCAAACAGTTACTATCACCAAGTGTTCCTACATCACTAAAGGCTCTATTTAGTTTAGTTTGAGGGTGGAGTTTTATTTTGAGTTTTTGAAATGATTTTTGAAAAGAAAAAAAAATTGTTTAGTTATGAGTTTTGATTTTTGAAAAGAAAAAAAGTTAAATTTTTACTTTTGAGTTTTTTGTGTTTTGAGTTGTATTTTGAAATTTTTTGAATTGACTTTTTTTTAAATGTTTAAAAAATTTCTTTTTTTTTTTATGGTAAATATTTTTTTAATGTGAGCTATATTTACTACATTTGTGTGCTATATTTTTTTAAAATCTTTTAAATATTTAAAAATTAAAATATTTTATTTTTTTATTTTAAATATATAATTTTTACTTTAAATATTTTTTATGGTTTTATTTGAAATATTTTTTATTTTTAAAGTATTTTTTAGAATATTTTATTTTTTATATTTTAAATCTTTTAAAATTTTTATTTTTTTTAAATATTTAATTTTTTAAATTTTAAAAAATTTTGAATCGTCCATATATATCTAAATCATAACAAATTATTTGGCTAATACTTAAAAAGTAACAAAATATTTTTTTCTTCAAAAATAAAAATTATTTTTCTTCAAAATTAAAAATAACTTTTTTTGAAATAAATAATAAATATAAAATAATTTTAAAGAAAGAAAAATGATTTTTTTTTAAAATAGAGTTTTGTAAAAAGTTTTGAAAAGAGTTTGGTTACAAGTTTTGAATTCTTTTATTCAAATTATGATTTGAGTTCTAAACCAAACATTACCTAAGTTTTTGGAACCATGTTTGATTTGTTGTTTGGAAAAAAAATTTCAGAATTTTTTTTTAAAAAAAAAATAGAAACTAATTTAATAAAAATAGATATGAAAAAATATATTTAATTTTAAATTTTTTTTCTAACCCTCAAAAATAAAATTATATAAAATGATAATTATTTTTTATTTTTTATTTCTTAATCAAATTAATTTTTAATTTAAAAAAAAATCTAAAACAAGTACTGAACAACTATTGACTGACTTGACATGATGTATCAGCCAAATATTATTATTTCTCTGGATAACACAGTTAGGGGCATTTTAGTTAATTTACTATCTTGTCAACAACGTTAATTGCAATAAGGAGGGATGTAACTTTTGAAACCCGAAAGGAAAATTTATAATTTAATTAAATCTCAAGGGGTGTACGTAAATCCCCCCCTAATAATCTTTTGATATCTAACTCTCGAGACGAAAGTTTCTCTCTAAACGTCTCCGTCCCTACACATCCAACTCTCTTTTGTTCTATGAACTTTAGCTTAGGCCACTAATTGTTTCATTAGCATAATTGCCCAAGTTTAACTATAACCAATACTGCTTAGCCTCTAAGAAACAAAATTTACTGATTAATCGTAGCGTAAGGATATTAGCTTAGGCACCTCATTTTAGGTTTTCTAAATCAGCTTAGTGTGCAATGGAACTTAAACATCGGTTGCATAGACTTCTCAGCCAAAATTTTAGCAAGAATTTCCATTGCTAAAACAAATAAATAAGGGGACAGGGGATCACCTTGTCGTAATCCTCTAGCCCCTTTGAAGTAAGCATGGAGACTCCCGTTGATGCAAATAGAAAAGGAGGGACTAGTGATACAGGCCTGGATCCAAGAAATCATGACAGTTGGGAAGGCCATAGCCTTAAGAATATCAATAATAAATTCCCACCTCACACTATCATAGGCTTTCATGATATCCACTTTCATGGCACACTTCGGGGTTGGGGACTTCCTATGATACCCTCTCATAAGCTCCTGAGATAGAAAAATATTGTCAGATATTCTCCTACCTTGAACAAAAGCTGGCTGAACGGGATCAACAAGATCCGGGAGAACAGTTTTAATCCTGTTAGCAATGATCTTGGCAATGCATTTGTAAATAGTATTACAGCAAGAGATGGGTCTAAAGTCACCCAATTTAACAGGATTGGGGACCTTGGGAATGAGAGCTATGATGGTACTATTGACTTTAGAAAGAAGCCTACCAAACTCAAAAAAAGTTCTAATAGCTTGAGTGACCTCTCTCCCCACAATATTCCAGGAGCTCTTGAAAAAACCAGTAGAGAAGCTATCAGGGTCAGGGCCCTTATTGGCTTTAAGAGACCAAAAGGTGTCCTTAATCTCTTGATCAGTCACAGGGCTAGCAAGCAATAGCGATTGGTCAGAAGATATTTTAGACTTAACAAGAGAATGTATTCTGTCGAACCCATTATAATGGTCATCAATAGGGGTACCAAATAAACCAGAGAAAAAATCTATAAAAGCATTGTGAATGTCCTCAGGTTTTGAAGATTTTTGGCCATTCATCATCTCCAAGTTCAAGATTTTACCCCTATTAATGTTATAGCGACCCCGGTCTTTTCCCATTTGATTATTGTATTCGGACTTAGGTTCCGTTTATTCTGTCATTGTATAATTGTTGTTGTCGTCCTTTATTTTCTCATTTGGAGTTATAGGATGTGTTGGGCAGGTTTGTTTCAGGTTGGTTGGGTTCGTAAACCAAGTGTTGCTGTCCAGTTTTTGGGTTGGTCGCTCGAGCCAGGGCTTGGTCGCTCGAGCCAGGGTTGTATTTTGTGTCTTCTAGCTCGATCCAGCTTTGCTTCGCTCGAGCGAGCGATTGCGTCTAGTATAGACCTGAGGGCAGTGCTTATATTTGGTTACTGGGCTGTGGCTCACCCTTTATGGGAACATCATTTTCAGGTTCAGGTGATAAGCTACCTCCAAGGACTTAGCTTGGGAGGATTTGGCTTTTGGATTTGAAGAAGACTATCTTTAGTTAATTGTTTCTATTTGTTAGTACATGTAAACATTCAAGCCTAGGGCTTTACTTGTATTGAGTTAGAACTCATATTTTTGTATCCAAGTGTTGGCTTGGAAAGATGTTAGCCCGTAGGGCATTTAATTCGATGTTACATGTAATACTTTTATTTAGTAATACTCTGATGAATGAATTAATAAATTGTTTTCTTTAAATAATGCATGTCAATGATATATATACAATGGGTTTATTTTGAGGGCGTGACAAATGTTACCCTTAATAGTTTTGAAGAAGAACCTACTATTGCTATCACCCTGACTAAGCCACTGGACTCTAGATTTCTGGTGGGCCAAGCTCTCCTCAACAGCCAGAAGATCAACATGCTGTTTATACAAAGTTCTCTGAAGCTTTTGCAAAGAAACATTATTAGGATCCTAGCTTAGGCCATTGATTGTTTCATTTGCCTAATTGGACAAGTTTAACTCAAACTAATCTTTCTTAGGTCCTAAGAAATAGAATTTTCTGAGTAATTGTTGTTTAACGATATTAGGCCAATTCTTAAATCCAAAAGGATGAATTAGAATTCCCTACAATT